GGGGGGCTTCGCGGCTGTGGGCTTAAGACTTTGGCGTAGGGTTCAGGTTTAAACTTTAGGGCTTAGGGTTTAGGGCTTAGATCTTAGGGTTTGGGGTTTAGGGTTTAGGGCTTTAGGGTTCTAGGGTTTTAGGGTTTTAGGGTTTAGGGCTTTAGGGCTTTAGGGCTTTAGGGCTTTAGGGTTTTTGGGTTTTGGGTTTTAGGGCTTTAGGGTTCTAGGGTTTAGGGTTTTAGGGTTTAGGGCTTTAGGGTTTAGGGTTTTAGGGTTTAGGGTTTAGGGTTTTAGGGTTTTAGGGTTTGGGGTTTAGAAAAACACGATCCCATCCTATACCCCCAAACCCCATGGTGCCTTGAATTTGAGCCCTAAGCCCGTCACCCTACTACGGTGCCCTTGTGGTTGCCCTAAGCCAGAGACCCAGAGCTGGTAGCCTATATGAACCCCACAAGCCCTAAACATGGAAGCCTCCCCACCTGCAGTTTCCTTTAACTACATGCCCTAAACATGGAAACCTCTCTAACGCTTACATGCACCCGCAACCCGAGCCCTCATTCGGACGCAGGTCAAACGGGGGATGGGATTGCTGGTTGCCAAATTCGAGGTGTGGGTAAGCCCTAAACCCCAAACACAGAAACCCTAACGCCTAATCAAACCCGATGGGGCTTGTACCTCATTAGACAACGTCTAATTAGGATGGGGGTTTTGAGCGTGTCTCTGGATGTCTTGGATTTTGTTTAGAGTTTAGATGGTACAAGCTTACACGGGGTGCTGCACGAGGTGGTAAGCCGTTTGGGAGGTACGATGTTCGCAGATCAAATCATGGGCCAGGTTCATGCTACCTAGTATAGGGGCCTTGATAACTAGAATACGGTTTTGGGGATCTATTATACTATAACTATCACAGGAGCCCCCCATAACATCCCATAACCCTATTCTAGTTATTAAGGCCCCTACATCAGAGTAACCGAGGTACCTTTAGAAAGGTACGTGTACCTTTTAGAAGGTACCTTGGTTTCTCAAGGTTTCGCTTCTATCCTCTGAAGCATGGCCGACTTTGCATTGCATAGAGTCACGCCAGACAGACTATCGGAACATCGGCAAGTAGAGATGATTTTCAGCTTGCCGGTGTCCAACCCTAAACCCTAAGCCCTAAACCCTGAACCCTGAACCCTAAACCTTACACCCTGAACCCTTAACCCTAAACCGTAGAATCCCACCGTAGTCAGGCTTTCACCTTCTCCGGGGCTAGGGGCCTCAGCAAGCAAGAACCGCCCATCGGTGTCGCTGGCGCAGGGTTTCGGGTTTAGGGTTTAGGGGTTCAGGGGTTTAGGGTTTAGGGTTTAGGGGTTTAGGGTTTCAAGCCTTCAGCCAGGCTAACTAACCCATCAGCATGCCTATGCTGAACAACGGGGAGTTCTTCTTATACTATCATGACAGTTCTGCAGTTGCATCCCTCTTCGCAGTTCATGTGCCTACCTAGGCGCTGAGAATCTTTTGGGCAGGAGACGTCCTTCAGCGTGGATGAGAAGCTTCCAGCCGTTTCTGCCCACCACCCGCGCGGTGCTCACGCCGAGAGGCCATCCGCAGTCCGCAGCAGTTGCAGGTTCCGCCTTGGACTATATGGGCCTTAATAATTGCCTATACTATTTTGGAAGTTCCTTATTATAAGTATAGCTATAGAGGCCTTAATACTTAGAATAGGGTTTGGGGGGCTCAGTATACCAACGATTATAAGGAGGCCCCCAAAATAGCATACGTAATTATTTAGGCCCCTACATTACACCCTTAGGGGCCTTTCTAGGATTCTAGGACTCTTGGGTTTTGTTAGGAAGTTCGGCTGTTCTGATTTTGAGTTTAGGGTTCAGGGCATTTAAGATTCGGGTATCCCATACTTGACCAGACCTCCAAGCCTCATAATCTAGGGGCCATACATCGTCAGAATAGGGTTTGGGCGGTTCCTTCTTATAATTATAAATGATAGTATAATAGACCCCAAACCCCATTTCTAATTATTCAGGCCCCGAAGCCAAACCCTTATAGTACCCTTTATAGCAACCCTTTAAAGGAACCCTTTAAAGGAACCCCCAAGGAGCCCTATCCGAAGTATGAAGGCCCCTAACCCTAAACCCTAAATTACCCTAAAATTCTAGGACTCCGGAGTTCGGTTCTGGGGTTTAGGGTTAAGGGTAGAGGCTTTCGGGTTTAGGGTTGAGGGTTTAGGGTAATTTAGGGTTCAGGGTTTTGGGCCATTTAGGGTTTAGGTATAGGATTTAGGATTTAGGGTAATTTAAGGTTTAGGGTTTAGGTCAATTTAGGGTTTAGGGTTTAGGGCAATTTAGGGTTTAGGGTTTAGGGTAATTTAGGGTTTAAAGGCTTCAGAGTTTAGGGTAATTTAGGGTTTAGGTCAATTAGGGCTTCATGGCTTCGGGGTGTCGGGTTTGTCCTTCCGGAGGCCGGCTTCCGGGAATAAGCAACCCTAAAGAGCGCACGTTGGCCGAAGAAGCACTTTGGGATTTCAGGATTAAGGATTTAGGGTTTGGGATTTAGGGTTTAGGG